TCAGGCTCTTTAACATAGTAACTTTGCCCAAACCAACGTTTCTCCTTGAAAAAGAGTTCCCTACAAGATGATGTTGGTTTAGCAGGAGAAACCATTAATGCAGTATCAAAATACATTGCTCTAGACACCCTAATGAGCAAAAGCTCAAAACACTAAAAATTTCAGACCACTCTGTTTCTTTGTTGCTAAATCAAGAACTATTTAAAACAGCACCTCTATATTGGGTATAGATACTACATTTGTGTATCAAGATCCAAAACACAATTCTTAGTAAACAACTGTGGAGATGAGAGCTCTGCAGAGTTTGAACAGCACTTAATTTTTTGCAAGCCAACACAAATAAAGATTTCTCCAAATGTCACATCCATAAGTGCTCAAGGAAGGAGGGAAATTCCAAGAAGAGGTAAACTCCAAGAATAGACTTTCATTTTCACCAAGAACATAAAAAGAAGACTTCTCACTTAATTGCCTCTATTTCTCGCTCCACTTCTTTGATTTGCTTTTCCAAGATCTGTTTCTCCATTTCAGTCTTGACTTTCTCCAGTTTCTGATTCCAATAACTCATCCTGTTCAAAAAAAATTTTATCATTACTTACTATGACTAGATGTGAATGAGGTCAACGGCATCAGAAGACATATGGCAAAGATGGTTTCCCTGTCAGTATCATTCTTTCCTTCAAGTTTATTTCCACAGTACACAAAACTGTTGTTCTTCTATGTTTTCCCACATGACACACTCATTGTCCGATTTTTGCCCCCCAAATGCAAATCATTGACCCAGAACAGGTCTCAGATTAATCACTTCGGTATTTACAGAGAGAACTGATGGTTGCTGCAACAGCAACAAAGACCATACCAGCTCCAGGCACAGAAATCTCTCGCTGGATATACCATTATGACTTGCTACATATCACAATTTCAGCTTCAAGCCCTGTAGACTATTTTAAGTTATACCATTGTGTCAATGGGAAGAAATAGATAGCTATAAAATGCCACAATACAAAACAAAACCTCTCCACCTGCCACATACCCAATCAAGCGTTTAGAACCCAACCCAAATGCTGTAACTCTTGCTTATGGTCGGAGCACTGCAGTCCAAGGCCCTTCGGTACAACGTGCACACACAGATAATATAGGTGTCAACAAAGAACAAAAGATGCTGCTACCTACAACAGTGTCATCCTCTGCACTGGTGCCCACAGGACAGGGGAGTTTGAGGATCACTGCTGTAAATTCACAGAGCCACTATCCCAGGACCGACAGTGACAGTCAAAGTATCTCTGCTCTGTTTTGTAACCTTACCGAACTGCAAACAGTTAACACGAGAACTCGCTGAAGGACGGTAGAATCTCCACATATATCCTGTCCTTCCTTCATATATAATGTTCTCATCAGGAGAAAGACGACTTTTGCACAGTACTTACTTCAGTAGCTTTGGCTGAAGCAGGCGCTGCAAGCGGTCACTTACTACCGATTTCTGCAATAATGTCTTCTCTCTGCTTTTCCCTAGACAAAACAAGGTAATCGAGCATTCAGACACTGGTGCAAAACCACTGCCAAGAAAAAGAGAGATCCACTGCTTTCAATATCACTCTTAAAGTACCCCCCAAGTCTTCATAATAGTTCATCTTCATTAGCTACACAATTTTGTTGGGCAAAGCGGCTACCAGAGGCTAGGTAAATTGACTGTATTCTCCACCACAATGATTGATGTCATGTCTGACCTGGGCAAGTCACAGCCTCTTGCTCAGTTTTAGTTCCAAAGAGATCTCAATAAAGATCATCACCCAGGTGTTTGTAACTATCTAGAGCTGTCAAGTGTCCCTTGAACTTCTCTCATCTGAGCACTACCTTTGCATGATCTCATTCAGTTTTGGAGCGCTCACAGGAGTTGTTATATGACACATCAAAACAAATGCAAATGAAAGAAGCAAGTCATTAATCACTTGATGAAACAATTTACAGAGCATCCCGTTTACTTAACTACTTTTTTTTGTAGAGTCAAGTATGAAATACCAGAAATGTTGATGTTTAATTGCAAATGGGGGGAACTAACAATATGAATATATACATTTGTTATAGCTCTTATAGAACACTGAAGAGCACATAGTTACTTACACTTTGTTGACAGCAGTTGTTCAAAGGATTTTATGCCCTGAGCTGCTTTTTCCTTGGCATCTTCATTGGAAGGCGGGCCCTAATGAAGATTAGAAGGGTTAGATACATTGGAAGAGTCAGATACACAGAAAAATTGCCTTTTCTTCTTAGAACTCTAGCATGAACTGCTAAAAAAAGACCGGTAACTCAAACTTGTGCAAATTGTCACATTCAAACTGCTAAGTTACCTTTATTAGCACTAGCTCACAGATACATCAGAAGATGTAAGAAAACAAATACAAATAGAGATACTTCAGGCAAATAAGTTTGTCCACGGTTACACAGCGCATTCTCAGCTCAGCGCCAGGCCTGCTCACATTAGCTGACAGTTGCTTAAAGAACCATTTTGAACATGGGGACACGTATTATGCACGTTTATACCTACTTAAGATGTACTACCAATTTGGGTAGGATTTAATAGAAAAATTACCAGAAATTGTTTGAATATTATATTAATATATGTATGGTGACAGTTGACAGCTACAACAAAATGTCAAGATATTTTGCTCACTACCCTTTAAAAACACATGAAAAAAGTCATGACACTTGCCTCAGAAAACTCCTGTTTCAAAGACAATAAGATTTCAACGAGTACTTTAAACAACAGCATGGAATTGCATCATGGAGATGAAAACAAACAATCAAAATTAAGTTAAAACCAAGAATGTTCAAGTGCCCCATAGCTGGAATTGCGTTGTGGAGATGAAGACAAACAATCGAAATTAAGTTAAAACCAAGAATGTTCAAGTGCCCCATGGCTGGAATGCCACTCCTCAGAACTCACTTTCAGACATCAGTCAGACATGGGTTGAACAAACATTTCCAAAAGAGGGTAAGTAAGCAACATGTGAGGGGAAAAAAAAGGTTTCAAACTGAGGAGTGACATTCACAGTTACAGGGTTGAAATGTAACACAGTTTTAACATAGTTACAATTTAAATCTATCATTGAAAGACATATCAGTAGGTAACCTAGTTACATTTACTTACAATTCCTGTTGTTTTATCCTTGAAGTATGGCTTCATAAAATGACCCAAAAATACATTCGCTGGTAGATTTCTACCATCTCCTGCCTTTGCTATTTTTGGACCACCAAGCTCGCACATGATTTCCTTCTGCAATACAAGAATTAATTAAATGGTATCAGTGTCTCCTTCAAATTCCTAATTTCAGAGGGCAGCAGCTGAGCCACCACAAACACCCCAGGCAGGGTTCAAATTTGCAGCAACAGACTGTAAATCAGTGTACATGTTAAAGACAGGATTTGTAACTTCCTAAGTTTGTACAGGACGCTGCAGATGATTAAAAAAACCTAACTTGCTACTACAAGCTAAAATATAAGATATAAAGTACCCTAGTGATAGCATTTTTGGTGATAAGAAAGCATGGAACCATCATTGGTTTGAACTGCCATGAAGAAAATGAACCTGGTTCCTGGCCAAGCAAGCTAAGCACTGCACCAGCATATGAATAAGGGACTATGACTACTGCAGCTGATTCCCCTAGTACCTGTGCTGGATTAGGAATGTCCTAGAAAGTTTTACTGGGCTTGATGGGCAGGGGAAGATGGCAAATGGCAATTCAGAAAAGCACAGGAATGAACATTTTACTCCTGTTTCACTCACCTGCTGTTCTTTGTTTTGTGCAATGAGAAGCTCGACTTCCTCAATCTTTTCCTGGATAACTTCCTGGTACACATGGTTCATCTGGAGACATGTTTCTGGATCCTGTGGCAGACTACTTTCAATATCATCATCGCTACTGTCATCTTCTCTTTCCATTTCCTTGAAGCAAACAAGGCATTTGGGGCGGGGAGGGGGAGAAGAGAGAAAAATGCTTACTTTAAAAGGACATATGTAACATAATTATTTTTGTAACTCAATACTTCTATTATCTTACAAAACTGATTTTCAAAAGATTTGGAGGCACATAACAGCATGTCTCTCCCTGGCAGTTGTTTTGAATGCTCCCAGAGGCAGAATTACTAGCCTTGCCTAGCTCCCCTTCACCCTGTTCATTAGTTCAGCCTAATCCTATTTGATAGAACCAAAGTCCGACTCCAAACCCTGCCAACACTTGGTCTTGTGCCATCAACTGCAAAACTGTAAGTAAACTGCAAAATAGTAGTACTTTACACTGGAGCTATCTTACCTGCTAAATCTGTACTTCAGAACCACCCCTTCAAATTTCCACCTCATTTCTGCTTCTACTGAAGCAATTCTTCCCTTATGTGATTTACTACCACATGCTTCAAACACAAAGCAGCGCTCTGACTGTTTCATGAAGGTGCTCTGTACCTGGGTCCAACCTGCACCAGCAGATCTGTCTTCACAAGCTGGCTTCTCCTTCCCTGTGCTATACGGCTGTTAAGACATTTCTCTGCTAAATGTTTTCTATATGAAGGCTGAAAAAATACTATGTTTAAAACAACACCAAATACTAAAAAGTCTTAGAAGTAATTTTCCCCTCATGTACGAATCCAGTATTCTTCAGGTACAGAGAAGTAAAAGATTTCTTGATCACAAGCTGATGATTTCTTTCCCATGTGCAATTGCTCTGCGACCTCCCCAGAAGCTGGTGTGTTTCCAGTGACAGAGATCAGCAAGCACTAGAGCAGTGAGGCCTCTGATCCCTGTCATTTGTTTTCACATGAAGAAGTCTTTCTATTACACATGAATAACAAAGTCCCGGGCAGGAATAACTAAACTTCCAGGTCTATTATTAATCCTTCCCGAGCCTCAGAGTCAAGCCAGCTGCCTAGATTTCCCCAGAACACAGTGAAATTTCCCTTCCTCCTGGTGCCTTCAATAGACAGATGGAAAGATATGCTTAAAGAGAAAATGGTTACCATTTCAGGATGAGAATCCAAGTCATCATCTTCATCATCATCTGTCAGACAACAAAAATACAAAAATGCTGATTGCAGCGAGATAAAAAAAAGCTTCAAAACAAAAGACTTTTCCATTAAAGCATACAGAATAAAGCACCACATAGTATCTGACATGACCATTAGAGTTTTTGAATACTGCCAACATTGTCAAATAAAAATGATATTTAGTTATACTCCACAGATGCACTTTATTGTTCTAGAGTAGGAAAAAAGAGCAGCTCCTGATAACTACCGCAACAATCAAGCTGCATCTTGGTCCTATACATCATGGCAAATTACAGGCTCCAGTGTGCAGCCAAGTGAACATTCCAACCCAATAGAACCCATACACTTTGAAATTACCTCACAGCCCTTCCACACTCTTCAGCAATATTTGGTTTTGCATTCAGCGTGGCTACAGACTTCTGGCATACCTTATTCAGACTTGTGTGATCAAAACACAGGTGGATGAAGCGACTGTGACAGCCACCATAGGTATAGATACACAAACTATTACCACCCCCTCTCTGCTTTGAAAAAAAATCAATTTTAGGAGGCACAAGGCAGGCTGCCAAATGGAGCGGCTCACACAGGAGAGTTTGTGTTGTCCATTCACACGGTGTGGAAGCGGCTGTGGTTTAACTATCGGCAATACTTGGTGTGCTGTTACCTTTCATGAATCAGCGCGTTACCACCCTCCCCGACTAGAAACCTCCATCAGAAGGTGTGATGGCGCTCTCAACCTTCCCCGCTAGTTTCATCACGAAAATATGCAAAACACCGGTACAAGAGGCTTCTCCCGCAAGGACGCTTGCTAAGGAAAGCCTCGAGGAGACACCTCGCCTCAAGTCCTCCAAAATTCGCTCCCAGCACCCTCTGGGCGCAGCGCTCGGCAGAAACGGTGGGGTTAATATAAAAACCCCACGCGAGCCTCTCTCCCGACACGCATCTCAAGAGCCAGAGCAGTAACTTAATGCAGAAGCACCGGGGGAGGTCGGAGAGGGCCGAACCCGCGCCCCGCCGTACCGGAGCTGAGGCTGGAATCGGACACGGCCACCTCGATGCCGGCCCCGCCGGGCTCCAGGCTCCGCTCCAGCTCCTCGATCTCCCGCCGGATCTTCTCCCGTTTCGCGTTCAGGTCGAGGGCCCCGGGGGACAGCGCGGCCTCAGCGCCGGAGGGGCGGCGAGCCCCGGCCGGGCCCGGCCAGCGGGACATGGCTGCGGCGCCGCTGCCGCCTCCCCGGCCTGGGCCGCACGGCCTTGCCGCGGGGCCCGCCCCCTCTCCCTCCGCCCAATCACGGCTGGGCACCTCGGTCAGCTGACCCCCTCCGCACGTGACAACCTCCCCGCCAATCGAGAGCGCCGCCGATGCCGCGGCGGGGCGGGACTGACGCACGTGGTCGGCGACAGGGCGCTGCCGGGTCCCGGCTCCCCTCCCCTGTACCGCACACCGGATGTGCCGCCGCCTCCGCGGCCTTTAATAGCTCCGCAAAACCCGTTACACAGCGGCCGGGACGAGGGTTACAGACCGCCTGAGAGGGCCGAGCCCCGCCGCAACCTCGGGGACTCGACGCCCTGCGCAAACCGCCCACCGCCAGCCCTTTTCCCTCCGCCATGACGGGGAGAGAACGGCAAGGGGAGTCCCGGCCAAAACGCGGGGTGCTCACGGGGTCACGGCCAAAACGTGGGGTGCTCACGGGAGCGCGGGGTACGAGGGGAGGCAGGGCCGTGGTCCCGGCCTAGCAGGAAAAGGGGTGTAATCTTGTCCCTTCGGGTTTTAGCGACCCGGGGCGGCCACAGCCACGCGGCAGGTAGAGATGGGAAAGCCGGTTCTGCAGCGGCGCTAACAGCTTCACACATCGTAGCGAGGTTGAGTATCAGAAATTAACTTTGAAGAAATGGTTTCCGCATGAAAGCAAAGTTCTCAGTTTTGTTTGAGTCACTGTCCGTCTTCTGACACTTCAGAAATTCTGTCTATTGATTTAAGGAGATCAGCGACGAGCTGCAGCGATTCTGCTCCGGAGACCAGCTGCCTGGAACGTGGGAGAGAGACAGCATTAGACTGAGGAGGAGAGGATGAAGTAGCCAGGCAGCATTTTGGTGGTGTTTACCCGTGCAATGTGATTTTTCAAGAAGCAGTTTATCTGGACTTACACTTCTTGAAGTGAAGTGTAAGAGACATAGAGATCCTAAGTATAATGGCTTTACATTAAGTAAAAAAATAGGACTTACACATTCTAGTTATTTTTATTACCTAAACCTGGAGGAAAACATGTTGCAGGTAAGTAAGAACATGGACTAGCTGATCTGGCATACAGAATACAAGAACCCGAGTTTCAATCCTAAAAAACCCACTGGGGACACGTAGTTGTGACCTCAGTACTTAGACAAGCCTCAGGGGTAGCGTTAGGAGAGTCGTCTTAAAACAACTCACTTGATCGAAGACCGGGAGTTTGTTATAACCGTGAGAAGGTTCTGTAAGGCAAGGTCTGCGTTTTGTTTCACCACAGCCAGACTCGCCGACTGGCCCGACCTCAAGGCTTCATTCTCTGTCTTGTAATTCTTCAGCTGAACCTAGGGAGGAAACAAACACTTTATATGAAAACAACTACAAAACTCTGCTAGATACTTTACAACTAAAGCAACTAATGAACACATTCATACAGCAGTTTATTAGCTACAGCAGCTAATGAATAGATCCTGTAACCAGACTGCCTAGAGAGAATGTCTTCCCTGCTCTGGAGAGCAGTCTCTGACAGAAAACTACAACTTAGAAGCCTTTATTAAAACTGAAAACGTACACAGCATTTTCACGTCTGCTTGTTTCACAGAACCAATCCAGTGTTGTAACAGTGGCGTGCCCCAGCTCCGACAGCGGTGATGGAAGCTGTTACCCGACGTGGATGCTATCATCTAACTACGCAGGCCCTGCTGAGCTGTCTCTAATATCTGTCAAGCTTCTCTCCCTTCTCTGCCAGGCACTTTCCTACAGCTAAACACCCATTTGCCCTGTTGCCTTACAGCATTCACAGGTCCCCAAAAATCAAACACATCACACGAAACTTCAGCAAAATAGTAACTGAAGTGCCACACGTCACAGAGATGAAGTTAACAGTCTGCGTAGGGCTGAAATGTTCTAGTCTAGAACATCTTCTCTGGCATTCACTAGGAAAAATGAGGCATAGTTAAGATTTTTCAATATCTTTTTTATAGGCTCAATTTCAAGATGTATGCTTTCAGCCCCAGGACATTCAGCAAGGCCTTAAGAATACTGCTTCCTACCTGAAGTAGCGCATTTTCCTGTTTCAGTTTTGTAGCATTGTTTTCTGCTTTAACAGCCCGTTTCTGAAATAGAATAAAGATTATTTATACCATAGCAGTGCTTAAGACAGAGCAGGCTGTTTGACCTACGTAGGAATACACGATTCCAGCACATAACTTTAAAGTGATGTGCTTTGCGTTATACCACCTTGTGTTCTGAATGCTTTACGAGATGGGGATAGTGCCCCCAGTCATGTCTGATCAGCTGTCTCCTCTCCTCCCCATTTTTCCTTTCTGATATCTTCAAGTGCCATCCATCACTTCTGGACATATATATTTTTTTTCTTGGACAAGAGGAAAAGGTACTCAGTATAAATAAGCAAGCGGGAAAAACAGCTCTTAGTTCATATAGGAGGTGTTTTCAGAAGGCTGCAAAAAAGCAATTGAAGGTGTGATGAATCCGAAAATGGTATTTCTGCAAAGACCTCCCTTATTCTAGGTAGTGAAAGGAGTTCTGGACTGGGACTTGTTATAAGGGGAAAGTCTGAACCCATGCCAGAGCTGTTTAGTGCTCACACTGGTGAAGCAATCACTTCAGCTTCCCTCACTCTCCCGCGGGAGGAAGGAAGAGGAATGGAACTACACCAGCTGCGAGCAAGCTTCTGCTACTGTGACCAATGCTTACAGTCATCAGCTGGAGATTCTGTTCCACGTGCTGCACCATTGCTTCCAAATCTTGCGCCTCTTTTTCTTCTTTAATTTTGTTCTCCTCAAGCTTCTTTTCAAGCTTCCTCATCCTTAAAAAACAAGAGACAATGTACAGTAAGCACTTGTAACATTAAATACTTCAGTAAGAAAATTCTAGGGAAGAAACTCATTCTTTCATGTTATAAGAAAAATGAAGTCTTCCCGCAAAACTACACTTCTAGGCTGTGGTTCAGGGGATTTCTTTGCTCAACATCCATTAGCATTAACGGGAACTATACAGCTGAATGCAGAAAGGCCATGCAGAAAACACAGTTGTTCACAATCAGTCTAGATAAGGGTAATTCTGAAACAGTTACCTCATCACCATAGAAGTACCAGCTGCCTCACTGTGAGGAGCAGCAGAGTGCAGAGGATTCAGATGGGAACTTAAGAAATTGCCACCCTAGATAAGTCACCGGGTTGCTTAACCTAAGGAAATTCAAGTCTCCCAATATCAAGTTGCTCACCAGCAAAAATAAAAATGCTTCTCTTGCTTCAAAGGAGAGAGATTAAGATTCATTATTTTGTTAATCTAAAGCTTTATGAAATGCATCCTGTCAAGCCCTACCCTCATTTTCACTAAGCACCTAAACTGCATGAAGCGTAAGCCACACAAACACACTCATCAGATGCCAGCTTGCTACTTACTTTCCAAGCCTTTTTCAATAAGAAAACCAGGTTTGTTAAAGCTTTTTAATAAATAGCATAGATTTCAACTACATTTTTCTTCTTTAAAGACGTTGACTGTTTCCAGTGAGCACCTCTTCTAAGACAACTCCTTGCTTATGTGGTTACTTTCCCCCATATTGTGGCTTACGCACTTGTCTGCTTGGGTTTCAGAGAAAATCTGAAGCTTATTGATCTTGCTTCTCAAACTGGCATTCTCTTCTTTCAGCTAAAAAATAAAGATTCTCATTAGAAATGAGGGTGTGGTTTCACAACACTACTAGCACTCCAAGACAAGTACCAGAAGAAACATTCAGCTTTAACTCTAGTGCTGGAAAGTCTTGCACTTTCTATTATATTCAAGCTTACTTTCACACCTGATTTTCCCCTCTCGAAACCACTTAGCTTCACTAACCCTCTGGGGCACAGAAACGTGGCACTGAAACAGCCACCGCAGAGCGACTCATTGAATGCTGTTAATTCTAAATTAATATGACTTCAAGAGGAAGAGCATGAGCAAGTCACCTGGGTCACACCAAAAGCAGCGGGACAGACAAGGTGCTAGATCTGACTTATGCTGCAGAGCAGTTTTCCAGACCTACTTCTCTCCCTCAGGCTGCCACGTATTGCGCAGCCCTTGCTGACAGCACGCTTTGACACCAAGTTTCTCTAAGAACCTGATACCCGAGCTCGGAGCTACTTGACAGAAGACGGAGCTCGCAGGCAGCGTTTGTGTCTGCGTTTCTCTCTGAGAAAGGAGCCGGGAGGTTGGCCGAGGTGCTTACCTCCTCGTAGCTGGGCTGCCGAAGGGAGTGAAAGCCCGGCCCCGGGGGGGCTCCGAGGCAGGCCATGCTCGGGTCCTCGCTGCCTGCCAGCCCCGCGCCCTCACAGAAGAAGGAGCCGGCGGAGGGCGAGGTGGGGCCCGCGACGGCGAGGTGGGCCTGCTCCACGACCAAGGGCTGGTAGCTCCCGCTCCATTCCTCCTCCTCGTCCTCCGCCTCTCCGGGCGGCGCCGGATCCGGGAATAAGAGGGGGCCGAGGCTCGGGCCGGGCCGCGCCGCCTGCGGAGGGGAGAGCAGCGCAGAGGGGCTGAGGTGGGCGCGGGACGGGCGCCTCAGCGCGGCGGGGCCCGGCCGCGCCTCCGCCCGGGCCCTACCTGGTGAGCACCGCCCGCCTCCCCGCAGCTCCGCGCCTTGCTGCGGACGAACTCGCGGAAGGAGAAGGGGTTGGGCTCGGCCGGACCCGGACCCGCCGCCATGGCCGCCCCACCTCCGCCCTCTCCGCTACCCGGGCGACCACCGACCGCGGGGCGGGGCCTCGCCTCAGAGCGCGTCCCGCCTCCCTTCAGAACGGACCAATTAGCGAGCGGTCACCGCAACCTCACCCAACCGCGGCCTCTCCCGGGTCCCGCCTCCTCGACCCCTTTCCCCGCCCATCCATTCCCCGGGAATCACCGCGGCTGCGCAGTGCCGCCTGCCCCGCACGCACGTGACCCCGCGCCGGGCGGCAGCGAGGCTCCCGGTTGACGGCAAGATGGCGGTCGCCATGGCGTGGCTGCGGCGGGGCGCTTGGGGCCCGGCCCGGCGGTGAGCGGGGAGGGAAACGGGGGCGGGCGGGATGCAGCGCCCGGTACCGGCCGGCGGGGGAGCTGCTGTTGGGGCGCCCGGCCTCGCTGACAGCGGCTCCCGCTGTCCCGCAGGTGCGGACTGGCGGCCGGCCGGAGCTACAGCGGCGGCGGCGCCTACCCCAGCGTATCGCTGACCTGCCCGCTGCCCGGCGTGCCCAAGGCGGTCTTCGCGGCGGCCGAGGGCCGGGAGAGGTTCGAAACTCGGGTGACGGTACTGGAGAACGGGCTGCGCGTCGCCTCTCAGAACAAATTCGGGCAGTTCTGCACCGTGGGCCGTGAGTACCCACTCCCCGGCAAAGGGGGGGCGTCCTGGCGGGGGCACCGGGCCGTGAGCTGCACCGGGCTGAGCTGGCCTGGCCAGGGACGCAGCGGTGACACTTCCCCGCCTGCGGGGGCCTGGCCGGGTGTAAGGAGCAGGGAGTGGGGTGGTGGTGTATGTGATAAAAGTCACGCTGACTTCTGCTTTTCTTAACGCTAGTTCTTATAAATTCGGGATCAAGACATGAAGCCAAATACCTCAGTGGCATCTCTCACTTCTTGGAAAAACTGGCCTTCTCCGTGAGTACCATACTTGTCATAGCAGGGTCCCGGAGTCTGTGTGAAACACCGTAAATCTGCACCTCAGCGAGTGGCCGAGGGCAGGGCCTGCTCCTTGCGACAGCACTGTGGGTCTGATCTGTTTAAAGAGATGGTTGATAGTATTCCTCATTAATTAGTGTGACTGTAGTTGTATTTTGAAAGTCTGTTGTGCTTTCACCTTCAAGGTTAGTGAGTATTTAGCAAACCATTTGACTTAATGTAGAAGATGCTTGTTCTGGGCTATGCTGAAGGATTATAAACAGTTATTGCTTTACTAATTAGTAACACTGGTATATCTTCTTAGTCCACAGCTCAGTTTGGCAGCAAAGATGAGATCCTTCTCACCTTAGAAAAGCACGGGGGCATTTGTGACTGCCAGGCGTCGAGGTATGATGCTCTTTCTCTCTGCTCTGTTACCTGAGTGGTTGTAACACTGACAGTAGTTTGAGTTGCTTTTTCTGATGTGTGGCAGTAGAAGCCACTTTGTGTTTCTAAGCAGCAAAAATGCATTTGTGGCAACTGCTAAGAAGCTACAAAAGTGAACCTGAAACGGTTATAAAAGTCAGTTCTATTTCCTTTCGAAACCTTTTAATGAGTAATGGTCAAGCAGCTTTATCTGTGACTTCCTGATGCACGTTTACTGAATGACCATAGAAGTGACTTCTCAATGCAGAACCCTTCCACTTGTGTTGCAGGGACACCATAATGTATGCTGTTTCTGCTGATGCCAAAGGCCTGGACACAGTGGTCAACTTGCTGGCTGATGTAGCGCTACAGCCCAGGTTATCAGGTCTGGGAACATAAGTCTCTGTCTCAAAAAAAGACTCCCAACGCATGACTTGCTATTAGATTTTAGAATTCTTCATTAGACAGTGCTCATCAAGAAGCTATCATGTAGCAATTGGCTATTTTGCGTGATGGTTGTCATCTCTTGCATTCTTTCTTATTACAGATGAAGAGATTGAGATGACTCGAACTGCTATACGATTTGAGCTTGAAGACTTGAATATGAGACCTGATCCAGAGCCTCTGCTCACAGAAATGATCCATGCGGTAAAACACTGAAAAGTCTATCTTGCGTGCAGTTCCCTGTATGAGAGATGCTGCATTCTCTTCATCAGTTTTTCATCAACTTCAGTGTTTATTTTAGATTATTGTGAGAACAGATTTTTCTGTTATTCAGTTAGATTTCAGTGGTGGGAGAATTTTGCTGTCCCTCCACTTTGAAATCCTACATTCACACATGTAAGGTTTTAACCTAAACTAAAACGATCTATAACTTATTTTTGCTGACATGGGTGACAACAAATTGTTGAGTTATGCTGACATTAGTGAAATAATGCTCAGCTTGTGCTCTCTTACATGTCTCAAACAGGTAGGCATAATTCTAAAACAGAAAAAGAAAGTTTAGATGGAGGGGGGTGAAGTAATAATTGTTACTGTAATGTATCTGTTTCCTTTTAGGCAGCCTACAGAGAAAATACAGTTGGACTGAACAGGTTCTGCCCAGTGGAAAACACTGACAAAATTGATCGAGAAGTCCTGCATTCATACCTGCGCAACTACTACACACCAGACAGGATGGTCCTTGCCGGGGTGGGAATTGAGCACGAGCAGTTAGTGGAGTGTGCGAAGAAATATCTGCTTGGAGTGGAGCCGGTGTGGGGCAGTGGGCAGACCAAGGACGTGGACAGATCTGTGGCTCAGTACACAGGAGGCATTGTCAAGGTAAAAGGAAGGTGGAGGTGCAGATTTGGACTTGAACTGATTTCTCTATAGGCTTTGCTTTTCTAAAATTACATACCATTCATGAACATGAGCCAAAACTGGCCATGACAGCCATTATCTGGGTGACAGGTTAATTATTGGGAATGTATCAAGCTGGATACAACAGAGGTGAAAATCAGTCCTAATCATTTGTCTGCCCTTCCCACAGGTTGAAAAAGATATGTCAGATGTGAGTCTGGGCCCTACTCCCATCCCAGAGCTTACCCACATCATGATTGGATTAGAAAGCTGCTCATTTTTAGTAAGTATCAACCTAAAATCCTTTGTTTTGGGTGCCCTGTACTTGAAGAATCCCAGAGTACAGTATTTCATGTAAACGTTGGCACTTTTGCTGCTGGTGCTGCATGTACAGACAAGCAGCTTTTTCACTGACAGTTTGAAGAAGGCACTGACCTTTACGCTCTTCTGACTCTTCTTCTCCCTCTTTACTCATCCCAGACCCTTGCGAGCTCTGCTATTAGCTGACTGAATTTCTTGTTGCAATTCAGGAGGAAGATTTCATTCCCTTTGCTGTATTAAACATGATGATGGGAGGCGGTGGCTCTTTTTCAGCTGGAGGGCCTGGCAAGGGCATGTTCACCCGACTGTATCTCAATGTGCTCAACAGGTTTGTTTGCCTTTCTGTTTAAGAAATAGCAGAAATGGTCTTCTCTAGCAGGTTCACACAGATGGCTTCATCTTTTGAAAGCCAGCACCCCCGGGTTTTACATCAGCTTATTCTGCTTGAAACGTGTGGGGCCGATTTGTTAGTAGGTATTTTGAGAGGGTGAAAGGGCAGAAGTGACCAGGAATCCTGTCTTCCTCCACTAGCCCAACCCATCGTTTAATCAGGGGGTATTAACAGAATTGGCAGTAGGTACCAGTAATACTGCTCTGCATTGTTCTGGGTTTGGTCTCAAGGATGCAAGTGGAGAGAAGGAACAAGATGGCACATGCAGAAATTGTCAGAGGCAGGGATTGATAATTCTCATTGACACTGCTGAGGATCCTGAAAATGCACTAGGAGGGGACTCACTGTCCACGTTTGTTTAATTTTTACATTTAAATTCTGGTTTTTAGATTTTTTTTTTAAGTACTGTTTGTATACTCACAGGCACCACTGGATGTATAACGCAACCTCTTACCACCACAGTTATGAGGATACAGGTCTCCTGTGTATACATGCCAGCGCAGATCCAAAACAGGTATGTAGTCCTGTATTCAAAGACAGGTGTCCTTTAAAAGTAATCGCGTTGGTTATTACCAGACAGGAACGTTAACAGAATAAGCATTGTTCTAATCTTCTTTCAATTATCTGTTTTTCCTAGGTTCGAGAGATGGTGGAAATCATCACAAGAGAGTTCATTCTAATGGCAGGAGCAGTAGGAGAGGTCAGCAGCCTAACTTGCAGACTGTGCAGATGGGCTTTGAGCTGAAATACTGCATTGCACTGGCCTTGCTAGAATGAAATTTTGTAGATAAGTATGCTAAGTATTTCTGTAAAAGAATATAGTAATTTTAGCAACATGTTCACAGAGAGGAAGGTGTTTCCAGAACTTCTATGTGGTATCTTGTATTAGAGAGCAGTGGCCAGAACATCTATCTGTATTTGCTGCTCATTTACAGGTAGAACTTGAGCGAGCGAAGACGCAGCTGAAGTCCATGCTCATGATGAACCTTGAGTCTCGGCCAGTTATCTTTGAAGATGTGGGAAGGCAAGTGTTGGCAACAAACACAAGGAAGCTACCTCATGAGCTCTGTGCCCTGATCAGTGAGTAGACAATGCTTTTCCTTGCCTTGATTGAACTGTACGTACAATTAGGTGGGGGGGGCAACTTACAACGTATTCTTGTAGCACAGATGAATTGCCTTAGAAAGCACGAGGGCATAAATTCTACAGATACATATTTCAAACTGATTTTCTCAATTGATTGCAAGCTAGCACAATGCTTATTTTTGTCAGAAGGAAGGAAAAAACCCAGAAGCATGGTAGGGAAGGTCTAGAGTTAGTTACTGGTTTTCTGAGCACAGGGTCTGACTCAGAATCATAATAAAGCTGCTTCATGCTATTTAGAATGTAGTGGTCACAGCTCTGGCTTTTTTTTTTTTTCTTTCTGCAGGTCAGGTGAAATCTACTGATATCAAGAGAGTGGTCACTAAGATGCTTCATAAAAAACCAGCTGTGGCTGCACTGGGTGACTTAACGGATTTGCCCACTTATGAACACATCCAGGCAGCGCTTTCCAGCAAGGATGGGCGACTCCCTCGGATGTACCGGCTCTTTCGATAAAACAGTGCATCTTGCACATGTCTGACAGACTTGCTTCTTTTTTAATATATTTATGAGATTATAATGTTGCTGCAAGCATTTTCCCCCATCTTTCCAGGCATACTGTTCAAACATGGAGCTGTGCTACAGCTGAACAAAGCTGCTTCAGCACACTGGTCTGTAAAAGGCTCGTTATGTCGGGCTTAAAGGCCTACCCTGGCTCTGGATGAGTACTTTGACCCTCTGAATAGGTTACAAGAGAAGATGGGTTTATACAGGCTTCTCTTGGCACTGGGGAGAAAATGGCAAGCCAAAATAATCATCACTACAACTGAAAGTGTGTATCTATCTGAGAAGGCAGTCACTGCTGTGTGTTACCACTTAATCCTATTAATCAGCAGTAGAGGCGGGGCTGTCACACTGGGGGTCCTGGGGCGTGCCCTTGTTTGAGGAATGTGGTGGCCTATTAAAGAGCTTGGCTTACATATAGCTGAATTCAAAGACTATTTATAGCTGTTACCAAGGTGAACAAAGTCTTGGTCAAACTGAATTAGAAAATATTAGTTATTATCCATGTGAAGTTAAGCAAAAAGTTTCCTGCAGTACAAGCATCATGGATCCATTTCATCAGTGTCATTTACCATTTGCAGTACTACTAGAAATCATGTCTGGGAACAACTTCATAATTTTGCTAGAGCTCAGAAGAAAGTAGACCTATGGCATAACTAACAGTTTCTGGGGAGTCCATATACAGAGATACTACACATAATTGCTACATGGACACTTAGAACTAAAGCAATCCTATTCTTTAGGTTTTTCACTTGCAAGTGAACTATGCTAAAGAATAAAAATTCTTTTACTCCAGAGTTAGTATACAAACAGTGTGTTATTAAAGGAGTTGCTACTGCACCCTAGTTTCTTCAAATTGTCACACGGCTGAACTTGAGGTCTTGCAAAAAGAAGACATAATTGTCAGCCTCAGCAGAGATGGAGCTCAGCTAGGCGTCCGGATCAACAAAATGATGTTCAGAAAGCTCATGATCTTGAAAGCAACTCACACAAAGCTAAGTGCCATGCATTTGATACACTGAAGAAATGGAGACCCAGAAGAGATGAAATAAAGCATCTGATGTACGTAATCCCCTAACATATGGGCTTAAAAATGTAGACATCTGCCTTGCAGCACTTCACTGGCTTGATGTGCACTGTAAGGAGCAATCAGACTGGGAGCAGAACACTGTGAGGCAGCTATCACCTGCTTTGTCCTCATACCTTTCCTCATGCAACTAAGAAGAAAACAGGTTGCATTGCTTCTTGTGGAACCCACAGTATGGAAGTCCTATTTAGTTGTTGTGTATGTTTGTAAGAAAATAAAAGAGACCTCTAAATGACTGGAGCCAGTAGTAAGAGTTCTGAAATTCATCAGCTAATGGCTGGGTTTCTTTAACTGGCAGGTGAAGTGTGCTTTGTTTGCTCAATGCAAACAATCCCAAAGAAATCCATCCTGCTTTTCCAGCTGAAGACAAATGGCTCAGGTCACCCAAACAGTTAGCATGCATCACACAGTCAAAGAACTCTAGTTTGGACAACCCTGCAATAAGAACTGGTTCTCATTTAAGGTATTGCATTAATTTATTTTTATTCCTTTAAAAAGAAAGGAAATCCAAGTACCTGATGGCTACAGACAGGTCAGTGCCATAAATGTTTGTACCGCAGAACAGAAGCTCTGATTTGGACAGGTTGCATAGTTAGCAGCACTTCCTCCCAAGTTGTTTGCATGGTGTTTTCTGTACTAAGGTGATTAATGATCCAGCTGATCTGTGCCCATGAAGTTTTTGAGTATTAGGTGTACTTAGATTTTACCAGTGCCATACTGGCCCATGTAGTTATGTTTAGCTTTAAGACAACACTACTTCAAAAATAGCAAATTATTCACAGTTCACTGTATTGGAAAAATAAAAACAAAAGGAATTAACCGTAATCAGAGGTAATGGAACTGCACCAATCTGACTTGCTGTAGTTTCTCTGCATACTTCCCTAGTATACTCGCTTGACATCTTAATCACTTTGGTGAAGCATTACACAGTAGCTGTACTTAGACCAATATTTTCAACTCAAGTGTCCTCTAATGAAGGCAGGTAGTGTTTTATCACCCCTGGGGAGGGCAAGTGAGTTAAGGGATTGTTTCAAGCAGTCTCAACAGCCAAATATATGGTGTGAGAGATTGATATTTACCCCCTTAGTAACAGAAGGCCTATAGAATAATTATTGAAAGGCAATGTTTCTACACTTCAAATGTACAGTAGTACATTCACACAGATCTTGCTGTGGAGGACCAAAAAAGCCCAACACAGGAGCACCATCCTTACACAAAACTGCCGAAGTCCCCTAACTGGTCCCTGTTACGCATTTTACAGAATACCGTACACTTGGCTACAGATGCGGAGAAAAAAACCAACCCCACAACATACATAAGCTAACCAGATCAAATCAAAGAGACAAACAAAAATTTTCACCTTTCTGCAGGCTTTTCTTAGGTCCCCTGCCCCTGGTCATGCCAATTCCAGAAGCTGTACCCCCTGTGTGGAGTCATCTTAGAACCAAGAGTCTGCACCCGGTTGCTTCCAAAGATACTATGGTTAAAAATAAATCAGTTACATCTGTTGGGATGGATGTCCTAAATAACTGACTCCATTTTCTTCAGCAAAAGCATTTGAGCTACATGGATTAGCTCATGCAAATGAATCCAGGATGAGGTTTAAGACATTCTTCGCAAGCCACAGCAACTGCCAGAGGTGCTTAAGCAGACAATTCCCGCCAGAGTTTGCTGTGGCCTGAAATCCTCTTTCCGGGCACCTCTAACACAAGCATTGCAGAGTCCTCAGCTCAGGAAATGCTACATACGCTGCTGGATTTTTGGTCCTTTTGCTCTTGCCGTTTCTGAAGTTCCCTTGTAATCCGCCTCTTTATTCCAATTAAATAGAGTTCTCTGTCAAACTGCCCTGCAGCAAGTGGAATGCTACAATACAAACACAAGCCATTAGATCAGGGCACAAATACACTCTTGTTTGCCCAACATTTCCCCACTAGTTCATACAACAAAGGCCAGAAACCTCATTTTTACTTTCCTAATGCATTCAGCTACTGCTGTGGGAGAAAATGGGTAAAATAAAGTTGTTCTTCCACAGCAACCAGTTAAGGTTTTTCACAATACATTTAAATGAAGAAAATATTGGTTGTAAAAGGCAACTGTACTTTCAATTTAAGCATGAACATGCCTGCATTCATAAGGGACATACATGGAGGATGTTCTTTATGACCCTAAACCACAAAACACATTTGAAAAGCTAAACTAGCATACAGTTAACTTCGTGTATGTGCTGGTATGGTTCATGCACAACAGTTCTTACCTTGGTCTGTTCTAGAGAGGCCAGAAGGCAACCCTAGCAGTTCAGCTTCAGAGACTCCGCAATACTTCTATTTAATGGCTATTTCATACCCATAAACAAAAAAATCCCAAATCTAATTGCACTGCTGACAAGTGCTTTGAGAAATCACCATTTTCCAGATACCTGGGTCTTGAAATCGCTGACCATGCTACTCACAGAAAAGAGACTAACTAAATTTCAGTGACTTAATCAAGTTTTCTAAGTAGTTCTACTAGCACAACAGCCCACAGTGGGACATTAAGAACTTGGAGGATCTCAAAATACTCCACTGACATACAGCTATGTTGAAATGCAGCCACCACTGTGGAGGGAAAACATCATTGATCCCAAAAAGGGACAGAGGAACAGAAGAGGAAAGCTGTCCATGCTGATAGGAAAAACAGAGCTGCATCTCAGATAAAGCACAGATTTATAGTCAATTGCAATGGACTCCATTTATGTCCCTCAGGAGGATTAAGGAAGGTGGCAGCAGGGATTTTGGATGTCAGTGCAAGGTTTAAGCACTCTTACTGCTCTGACCATTGAGAGCATAAATTGAGTAAAAAACAAACAGGCTGCAGAGAGCTACATGGGATAAACTAATTCAGGAACTCTCCTAAGAGGACAAACTCCAAACAGGAGCATATCCTCAGGATCACTGGAGCCATGTGCAATCTTAGAGTGGCATAAGGAGGTACTAACTTGTCTCTGCCAGGCCTCACTTTCACACGAAACAAGGCAAATACAGGCCGATGGTCTGAAGTTTTGATCACAGGACAAGATGAGTACTTGACAGCATGGATGTCATCTCTGTACCGACTGCGGTATACAACTCGATCCTGGGAGGTAGAGAGAGAGGGGAGACTGATGGTAACTCCCTTTGCACATCCACCCTGGAAAGAAGCACTGGTTCATGAGACAAATCCATTCATATATCACACTCCACTTAGTGAAATTAAGTGTCTTGGACAGGGATACATTCATGAAGAAATGTGTGTCTGATCCCAATAGCAGTTCTGTGCTCATCTCTGAGCACAGGGGAGAATGCACTGGAACAGGATGTAAGGCAGGGAAAATAAGATTAGCAGCCTGTGCCAAACTCTCCCTGCGCTCAGAGATTCAACAATCCTTTCTTCCAAACCAGTTCCAGATGCCCTGTTGCCCTTAAGCAACAAATCTCAGCATGACTGTATCTCATGCAGACCAACTGTGGAAGGCAGCTTTTTCTCACAGGTGAGAATCCCCTTTGGAGGCAGATGTGAGGCTGAGCAGCCCTTCCAGCATGCTGCTCTGAAATCATCCCTTACCGTGTAGGAAGGAGTCCTTTGTTTGGAAGTGGTGTCATAGCTGTCCTTTCCTATGTCAAACTTGTACGAAGGACGGAAATGAATGTCAGCCTCTTGGAATCCTTTGAAAATAGACCCTGTAAGGGAAGGGGAGAACACCATGAACAACAAATTCCTTCTTCACAAGAACATGGCACACTTTCTGCATTTATTCAACATTGCTTAACTAATGCTGGCTAGGAACTGCAGCCATGTACATACATGACTATAAAGACCTGGCCTTGGGCTCTGGAAAGGAAGCAAGCTCCAGTTCTTACACAGTGAGGATAAAAAATAGCCAGTGGCTATTTAGTCAGTGGCTATTTAAACAAAAAACACTTGATGCATGCACTTCCCATTCCATTGAAGCTCAAGATACTTTGCAAATGCTAATTATTCAAATGTAAATGCCCTAGACACTGTGACAGAATGATATCCAGTTTATAGAGGAGTCAGATGAAACAGAGTAGTAAATAGCTTGGGAGATTACACTATACATAGCAAAATGCTATAGCAAAAAGTCCCTTGTACAGACTACCACTGTATTTGACAACTGCTGACTTCCTTTTTTTAGGGAACTTAACAAGAGAAAGCAGGAAAAGTATCTAGGAAATAGGGATTTGGCTGTAATTATTTCTGTGTGTCGATATCTTTATTCCTGGAGACTAGGGAGAAAAACAGCTGTCCCTCACCTCTACTCATTTCACTGGTAAGCTGGTCATATGCCAATAGCTTGGACATGTCTGTTTCTGGGTTCTGGTTCAAGATGGAATCCACGGTCTCACGATCCTTATTTAGTCGGAAGTTGAAGTCACCAAACCAGAATACTTCATCAAACCGAGTTGTGACATCATCTGCAAATTCAAGCCAGAAGTGTCAGTATAAAGGTAAACATCCTGAAAAGTTCTGAAAGCAAAAAAAAAAAAAATCCCACACTTTTCTTCCCTGAATCTCCTTTTGACTTTTGAGTTAAAGTATATGATGTAGCTACACGCTCATCAAAATGAAACTCACTTAATTCTTTCAAGGTGAGACCTGTATGATGCATAGCTTCCTGAGAGTGCTGCTAGATGTGTTCAGGAAACAGGCATAAATTCTTTCTTTTTGCTACCAGGAGATATAATGCTTGAGCATGTTTTCTGCTTGTCATCATCACAGAATGTGGTAATAAAAAAACAGTAGAAAATAGAACAGAAATTTAAAAAATCATAGAAAAAGCTGAAAAGAGACCAAACTATCTATAGGACCTAAAAATAGTATGAACACAAAAACCTAATACTACACTGCAGATAAAGAGTAAATTAATCTTTCTAGAAAAAGGGCTTAGCTATCTATCCAGACATCATGTTAACAGCACAGTATTAACAAACAATAAGGGAATTTGGCAAACAATATGCTGACCTGTGTATAAGCAAACTGAATAAAGTTCTTTCTCTTAAGTTTTGAAATAAAGTATTTTCTACTTGTTCTAGAAAACACTTGGAAAGTGAAACACATCCATAATATTGATAAAAATTACACCAAAATTATCTTATTGCTGTTCTGAGAAAAAAATACATCACATGAAAATTCCTTTTGAATTTTCTCTCTCCCCCTCCATTTCAACTTTTTCTCTC